AGGGGGGATGCCACGCCGCAATACCTTCTCCTCTATTCTCCTCTTGGGATCTTAGGCACACACGTACATGCGCCCGGCGTGAGTTTTAAGCCACCGGATCCGGGACTCGAACCTCAGTCGACTACATGGGAGTCCAGCGACATGGCCATTACGCTAACTGCTGGTCCCAGAAAAGACATTTTATAGTTTTATCAATTGGACTAGGGAGAAATGTTCACATGTTGAAATATTCACTTTGTAAGCTAAATAAAGTGAATGTATAAAAGAAAATGAAATAAAAAATGTAAATGAAAATAAAATAAACATAAAAAAGCAAAGATGAAACATTTATATCATAGTAAATGGTCAACAAACAAATCATTCATCATGGTCCTCATTAGTTAATATTTATTAAACAGTTTCATGATGTTTCATAATAACTTTTTTTTTTTGAGAGTTTTTTGCTATAGGGCGCATGCGCTCGCCAGACAGACAGAGAGAGACAGAGAGACAGAAAGCAGGAAATCACCCCCCGGGGGGATGGTCACACCGCAATCCCTTCTCCTCCATTCTCCTCTCGGGATCTTGGACACGCACACACACATGCCCGGTGTGAGTTTAAGCCACCGGGTCCGGGGCGCGAACCGCGGTTGACTATGTGGGAGTCCAGTGACATAGCCATTACGCTAACTGCTGGTTCTCTCTCTTTTTTTTTTTTTCATAATAACTCTTATTCATTAACATAAACAATTTAGTTACCTTATTGAACTAATATATCTTTATTTGCCTGTATTGTTTATTCTATATATTGCCACCAGAATTATGTAGTTTTTATTTATGGGCTCACGTCTAGGAGTTGAATGTCAAATAGAATAAATACAAATGCATTAATTTCATAAGGTACATTATAAAGAAAAATACTGACTGAATTCTGAGAGTTTGTGGTTAAAATTATAAGAAATGTTCCCAATGAAATAAGACACAAGAAAAATGATCAAGTTATTTAAAGTTATGTATGATTAGTAAAATATCAAAGATAAAGGTCTAGTTCCATGGCGTAGGGTTAAGGGAAGTGGATCTCACATAGGTGACTGCAGTTTGAGTACAGGTCCCAGTGGTTTGGGAAACACCCTAGGCACATGTGCATGAGTGTCCAAAATTCTGATAGAATGGAGAAATGGAGAAGGGATTGTGGTATGACCATGCCTCATGGTGGGTGGTGGCAGAGGGGTTTTTCCCTTTCCCTCTGTTTTTCCATTTCTGTCTCTCTCTGGTGAGCGTACTTGCCTTCTGGAATATAAAAAATAAATAAATAAATAAATAAATAAATAATATTCTATTATTTAAACTTTTTACATCTTGATTAGATTTAAATAAAAGTTGTACTTATTCAATAGGATATCATAGTTTGTTAATGTGCAGTGATTCTTTAATTTGGAAATTCCAGAAGGTTTTATTTTCCACTTCCAAATCAGACTCTGTTAAATAATTCAACTCCATAAACTCCATAGTTTTGAGTTTTTATCTTAACCATTTTAAGATATTGTGATTTTTTTTTTTTGGTTTAGTGCATATTTAGTGACTTCTTAAGGTAAGTTATATCAAAGACTTTAAAATAAATCATTGAAAATTTAAAGGTACTGACATAATGGTTCTAATAAAATGGATTTTATAATGCTATTGAAAAGGTGAATATTTATTTAATTAAATCTGGCTGTAAACCTCTGCGACAGATCTAAATACAGGTCTCTGAACTTGACACTGAAATTTTAGTGGGTAAGTCAGCAGTGAAGTATTTTCCTCAATATTTGTATTCAGTCGTTCCTTTGACCTTAGGGTTTTAGCTGTATAAATCTTCCTTTTCACAAAAACTTCTGAAATATGAAAATTTGCCCTCAGATTAGGATACTTATCCTGTAATAAGAATTAAGGGCCAGCAGGTAGTGTGGTGGTTAAGGTAGCTTGATCCCACATGCCAAAAGTTTGGTTTACTCCTAGACCTGGTGGTTTGAGAAACACACTGGGCACATGTACATGCATGCTCAAAATCCTGAGAGGAGAAGGAAGGAGAAAGGATTGTGGTGTGGCCACCCCCAGAGGTGGGTGCTTTCTCACTTCCCCACTGTCTCTCTTTAGCAAAGATGCACACCCTATAACAAAATAAAATTAGAATTAAATTTTATTATTCTTAATATTTTTCTGATAATCACGTGGTTGCTTACAATTATTCTTTGCATTTGCCACGCATTGATTTTCCAATGAATTAAGAAAATTTTTCATTTATCTTAAAAATCTCTCTTTATAAAGTGTATTTAAACTTGTTTTAAATTTAAAGTCTATGTATTGCTTCAAATTTTAACTATTACGGTTCATTTTTTTTTTAAATAATTTATACACT